CACACCCCCCTGCCGCAGTGCTAACAACTGTTCACAAAGCTGCATATCGCCTACACAGCCTCGTCTGGGTTGACTTAAGTCTCGGACGAAGGCCCTAATAATCCGGATTCCTGTCAATATTTCTATTGATCGAACCTACCGAGGACAAACTTTTGAGCACCAGTCCGGCCATCTTGTCGTTGGAGCGGCCGATGACTTTTGCTTCCCCGAAGGCGAAACTGTTCTTCTCCTGTTCTATCTGGCCATGCATAAATGACAATCTATCCTCACAGTTGACTGTCAGCTGATATTAGTGTAACCTTGTACAGAGACGTTTAACCATTTCACCAACATACCTCGCGCTACAATTTTGGCACGGTGTGTTGTAGATGACTGATGATGTTTCCCTTGTCGGTATTGGGCCTTTGGGTCTCATTATCTGCCGTCGGATAGGACAATTATTACCAATCTGATGATGGAGACGAGGGGGTCTTCAAAGCCTCAGGAGCAATACAGTATGGTCCATGAAAGCGCCGTTTTCATTCTTCATCTTCTATGGGGGATGATAGACGGAATAATTTGCCTGAATATCGTATCTTTACTTATCTTGCTATATGTAAAACCTAGATGTACATTCTAAACTTTATTCGTAACCAAAACAAGTTATTTGAGGAAATTTAGGATTTAGGAAAGTAGCAGTTGTTGTAAGCCGATCGTACTTACTCCAAGAAGCACCTTTGTCCTTCATTACTTCATGTTGGTTGATGGATACTTTAAGAGTTTAAGAGTTTTCCTCACATCCTCCCTAGGTGGTTCCGTCTTCCAGACATGCTCAATGCTCGATCTGCTCACCGTGTCGTGGCTCACGAGGAGGATGGCCGCATTTTTGTCACTGGTGGCGAAGATGAATTCGGTTATGACATGGACCTGGTAGAATGCTGCACCCTTCCTATCGGCACCTCTGCAGAAACCACTGAATCACACAGTTTCCTCACCTGGCATCGGGCGGCACCGATGAATCAGGCACGCCATTATCATGCTCTGGCCTACGCAAAGGGCAAAATTGTAGCTGTAGGAGTTTTGGTCAATCGCCTTTTACCCACGCAGACAGTTGAAGTATTTTCGCCTCCAGATCGCGGTAATCCCTTGGGTCAATGGACATTTGTAAGACCTCTCGACGTACCCTATGAATATCCCTTTGCTGTAGTTGTGGATGGTTACTTCTTCGTTTTCCGTGAGTTTCTGTTCCTTGATCTTGCATGTGTGTTAGCTGTCATTAGCTTGATAAATGTAACGATATAATTTGCTATCTGACACATGTATATGAAGTAGTCGCTGGTTTAGTGGTTGTCATGCTTAGTCCCCAAGATTCAACTTGAGTCTTCCTAGTGAAACCAAATTGTGCAAAGAGAAAGAATGCAGATGCTAATTCCACGAAATGTGTCATTGTCCCGACGTCTTGGGACCTTAATTGTTACTTTCTTTGTTTCCTCGAATGAGTACCAGAAGTCGGACCAGTGATGTCTAAATGGGGTTTTTGTATGGTTAACACTTCACACGTGGAAGTACTTGAGAACGTGATTTTGATTTCAGCCGGAAACGTCTCCTACGACGTACAAAGTACCCCTCAGAAAGCTTTGGTAAGTTTCACTCTTTTTTGTGAAGGTCAGTGATAATGCCTTCGAAAACCCTATTGTTAACACGTGGGTTTGTCATATACACGAACCCTCTAAACATTTTCAAAAATTAAGTAGTACTCAAAAACTTAAAATATAATTGTTTTTACAAATAAGTCCTGTCTGGAGTTGGCGTGGTATTAATTCGGGTTCAGAAGTATCCACTTGCTCAGCTGAAGCACTGAATCGCTTCTTATCAGAACTGT